TCCAGATGCCTGAAAAAGCCTGCATCACCTGCTGTGATGTGTCCGCCAACAACCGGCTGATCATCGCAGGCGCCAAGGACTGGGTCTCCGTGTACCAGGTCACCTACTGAGGGCTTGGACGGCTTCACTTCTTTTTCTGTCCTGCAAGCCGTTATGGATGGAAATGGGGAGCTGAGGTCACTGGGCCCCCTGTGGGATGTGTCCAGGGGCCCAGGGATGAGGGGCTGTGTCCGTGTCTCACATAATAAAGAGGATAAGAGCAGCAGTGGTGTTCCCTGTCCTTTCTGCCACCAGCCATCAGAGAAGGGGTTGAAGGAGGTGGTGACCGCCACTTCCCTGGCACAGAAAAGTTGTGAGACCCTTCCCATGAGTGTCTGAGGGTCTGGGGTGACCCACCCATGGGACACTAACATAAAGCCGGTGGGGGCCAGGAACAGTGCTCAGCAGCCTGCAGTGCCCAGCATGCCCCATAGCAGACTCAGACCCAGTGTGCACAGCGGAGGGACTAAAGTTCATTTACAGGTAGCCAGGCTTCTGTGGCACAGGCCTGCCATCTGAGCACTCAGGAGGCTGAGGCAGGAGGATCACTGCGAGTTCCAGACCAGCCTGGGCTAGTGAGCTCAAAACCAGTCGGAACTGCATACTGAGGAGCTCAGCATGAAATCCTTGGGTTCAATCCCTGGTACTATAAAACTAAAGCCACACTGCTTAGGCAGATGCAGGGACTAGGGTTCAATCCCTGGCATGCCATGCTGGCTCTATCCCTAGGGCGTGCTAAGACAGTGATTGAGACTGGGTGGTACACACCTGTAATCCCAGTGCTTGGGAGGCTAACTAAAAACAAGAGGATCACTATGAGTCCAATCTGTGTAGTGAGACCCTGTACTAAATACGTTAAAAAAAAAAATTTAAAAAACCCCTCACAAACCCAGAATTTTGTAAAACATACACACTCCTAGAAATACTAAAAGCAGCGAGCAGCTCAAGTCTGCCACGTGAAGTGAGGTGGTGGGGCCAGGTGGCACAAGAAGGAATCTGAGACAGCCCACTTAAGTGACAAGAGGGGATGCTTGTTACACAGCCCCGCCTGGCTCATCCTGCCCGGTGATGCTCCCAAAGTTAGCCACAGCCTGTCCCAGCCCAGCTCTGATAAATATATTTATTTCCCAGAACGCTGGGTCCATCGACCTGACCCCAGCAGCAAAGGGAGGGTGAGGTGTCAGCCATGACCAGAGGGACCTGGCCAGAGGGGGTCTCCATCCCCAGGAGCTGGGCGGGGCCTCAGTAGACCACCTCATACACAGTAGCCTTCTTGTCTCCCGAGCCAGTTACGATATACTTGTTATTCCTGGAGATGTCGCAGCTCAGGACCGAGGAGGACTCCTTGGACTGCCGGGAAGGGAGGAGGAAGAGGCCCATTAGTCAGCCTGGTTCTAGGCTCCCAACTACCCAGAGGATGTTCAGAAGCTTGGGCTGGCAGGTGGGCACCGGCACCTGCCCCAAGGGTGGGCATGTAGACAGCACGTCCAGGTGGCCGAGAGCAGCCTGCTGGCCAGGGGCCCTGCAGATGGTGCCGACCAACAATGGCTCCACCTACAGCACCTCGACTTACAAGGGTTTGGCTGTACCACCATGGCAGGGGACCTGCACAACATCCTGCTATTTTGGATAGGGTTTGATTCTTACATCAGATATCTGATGCTTTCTTACAAGACAAATGTTTGAGGTAATTTTCCTCAACTGTGCCTGATAAAGTATTCTGAACAAGCTTGAGGTTAGTCACCTGTACTAAGAGCCTTTTCAAAAAAGCTATCTTGGGGGCGGGGAAAGATGGCTCAGTAGAATAAGCACTTGCAAAAAAAAAAGCTATCTCTGGGCAGGCGCAGTGGCACATGCCTGTCATCTCAGTACTTAGAGGCTGAGGCAGGAAGATCATGACTTTGAGCCCTGCCTGAATTCACTATATAGCCCAGGCTGGCCTCAAACTCATGGTGATCCTCCTGCCTCAGGCTCCCTGAGCTCAGGAATTACAGGCATGCACCACCACACCTGGCTTTCAGTCTTAAAAAATGTAAGCACTACTCTACACCCCCAAGGCATACACCTTTTTAAAAGGACAGTAACAGTTGTTGGTGAGGACAAGAAGGCTTTGGAATGCACACCTGCCTGTGCCAATGTAAACTTTCTTCCTCAAAAGCCTCAATGGTGGGCTGGTGAGATGGCTCAGTGGTCTAAAGCACCTACTTAGAACAAGCTTAGCAAAGCACAGGGACCACGGTTCAATCCCCCAGCACCACATGCC